CATTACCTTTAACCATTTTAAACACCGGCTTTTATCTCGTGGTACACGAATAAATAGCTTATCTGGCGTTTTAAAAGTTGTACTAGGACACAGTGGCACCATACAGCATTTGAAATATTGTTTTTGTATTCTGAATTCTCAACAGTCAAACACCCAGACAATTCAACCACAAGCCGTATTCCCGTATTGCCTTTCAATCGAMCGACCAGCGCTATGACGTCACGACCATTCCCGCCCATTTAGTGCYGTTTMAAATGAATAGCCTGCGGTCACAACTTTAATTGTTTATTGCAAATTAAATRTTGAGWCTTGAGGGCTGATATTTGGTATGCGCGATTTCTATAGATAGRCAAATATATTAAAGAAATAAAAAAATAATTTYAAGTTCCCCATTGGCTCACGTTTGAGTCCGARAAAACGCATAATGTTCTACACGAAATGTAGTGACTCTAAATTTACATCCTAGAAAGTAGAGGAACACAGTGGCTCAGCCCTGGCCAAGTCCTAACAAATTTTATGCTCCTACTGCAGGCAAACTTGAAGACGAAATTGAGGTTTTCCATGAAGGTATCAAACATATGCTCTAATCATTGTACTTTTGGAATTTTAATGCAAAACTCTGAGAAGCGATATGCGAAGGAAATGGATGACTAAAGAACAAGAATAATAAATAATTGGGGCGACAAGATGGTACAATTTTGCTAAAAAAAGCAACGATGGTAACAAACCTCTTCTATAAAATTCCAAAGCCGGGACTTCATACATCGAAGTCCCAACGGAACACTGAACAACATCGAATAAGATCCAATAAGATATTATCGCAGCAATTAAACAAATTTTCGCCGGTGTTTCCAAGAACAACCAGCGCTTCAAACATTAATTTTTTCAGGAAATGAAATTTGGCCCTGAGACAGCTTTCTACGCCAAGTCTATGGGTTTTTTAAGAGTTTTAGATTATCTAAGAAGTGTTGATAACTGACTGAGTTACAGGCTAAAGAGTAGAACGTAGTATGGGCAAGTTGAGAGTTTTACGCTTGTAGTATTTAAAGTCCATTTCCTTCAAAACTGCTGCAAATACAAATTTTCTTACAGACAGTTAATGTGTCGAGAAAACGCTTTGCAAACAGTTTGATGTTTTATTTTGAGAATGAATTAATCGAGGTAAAAAAATTCAAAGTATTTTGTTGAGAAAA